ATCTTATTAACTCTCCAAGCTACCAAGGATATACCAACGCCATCATAATTTGAAACCTGTTCAACTGATGTTCCTCTAGGTTATCCTTTTAGCTGCTTTCCTTTATGGGAGCTTACAGTTAAGAATGCGGTTTCACCTAACGTTTTCCAAGGCTAAAATCTCACGGCAGCTCTTGGATTTCATTAGCCAGGTCATAAGATCTTCTGAACCTTATCTGGTTTACACTAAGCTCTAAGTTTTCATTTTTCCATAGTGTATTTGCCTTTAGGAATAAGCGCGCTTCTTGATATGGTGGCAGAACTGGAACTAGGGGCAGGAACAGCTTGCAATGTATCACATGGCTGAGCTGTAGTGCTGCTATCAGCCTCAAAGTACGGCGGCAAGATGTTCTTGTCCTCTGGCTCCAGTACTTCTGGTTCCTCATCAGAGTTCTCTGTTCATTAGGTTCCAATGTGTATGATGGATCAGCTACATCATCGTTGTCTGAGAAATCTGAGCCATCATCACTATTTTCCCATTGGTCCAGAATATTCTCCAAGTCCTCAGTCGTCCAAGATTGGGTCCTGGTACCTGGATGTGGAAGCCTCGAAGTCATAATGGGTCTAGAAGAAAAGAGATAGATATTAGACACATAGTAAAAATGATAAATTTAAAGCGCAATGATGCATAACTGCATCATAAGAAAATTGTCCTCTAATTCTGTAAATACAATAAAAATCATTTCAAATATATCAAATTATTGAAAACCAATAACTTACCCTCACTCCACACCAATTTCAGATCAATATTTTCATTAACACCAGAAAAACAAAGAATCAAAATCACCACCGAACAAAACAAACCGGATTTTACAAGTTTCTCACTTTAGGTGATCACAAAAATAAAATAGCGCCATCTAGCACAAACAGAGTTAACTAACTCGTAAGGGTGCTTTGCTGCAGATATGCCGCACTACGTTATAAGGTATTTTTGTTACTGTTTGAAAGATTCTATGAGTTCAAGTGGTATGATGCAGAACTGCAATTGAGCGCCGTAAAGGGTTAAAGTAGCACTTGTTTCGAAATTATGCACGCGTTTTATCCACCAATTTACTAATGACCTTGTCAAAAAAAAACTTATTCCGATATGGAATAAACCGAGTAGGTAAGAATCATACGCCCGTATTCACAAACATTACTATGAGATCTCACGGTGCGCGTGAACATACAGGTGACATAGGTACGACGAACCAATCACAGAGCTCTAAACAACGCTGCTTCACTTAAGCAAGCGTCGTTTGTGAATACGAGCATTAATGTAGAATCGTATCGAAACTTGTTTGATTAAAAGGTACTTACCTACCTAGGCTAATAATAATACACAAAAGTAATAAGTCGTTTACATTAAGTTGTTATTATTACAGTTTATTGACACAACATTGTTCATTATGCGGCTGCTAGGTAATTAATTATTAATTTACTATCTATAGATGCATAAAATAATGTTATTTGAATTAATAATAATCGATATTTGTAAAATAAATTGCGTCTCTAAGCAATTCCACGTATTTTTATACAAAACTGAAAATATTTTAAGGCACAGGAGAAACGCACAAAAGTAACTTTTTGGTGCTTAAACCCATTTCACTTTCGCGAAGATTCGAATCCCAAACAAAACGGTCCGAATAATCGGCGATCTCTAAACCGGTACCTTGCGAAAGTTAAGTCGAATAAATAAACCAAAATCGACTTTGACTTTGACCCCGATTCGCTTTGGAGTTTGGAGTCGTGACCTTGTCTAGCCGAGGCCTCAAGACGAATGATATTATTTGTAGTTATTTGAAAATACTAATTTACTAGCGTGCGCACGCGACTCCGAACGCGTGGTTTGCACTAAACAGAACTTGTCCCACCACACTTTCTCACCGCAGGAATTCCTGTAAAGCCAGGATCTACAGCTTGATCTCCAATGAAACCTAACCAGTGAAGTTGAGTAATCCCAGGGAGTTCTAACTGTCTTGGAACCCGCAATTGGTTTGCACTACTTAACAATCAACTGGTGAAGGTCGCGGGAGGTGTCTTTGTCGAAATCCTTGGGGGTGGCCTTTGTCCAGCTGCGGACGTCATTCGGCTGAAACGAACGAACTTAACAATCGCGCAGCCCTTAGAAGCCATTATGCATAGGTTTATCTCGTTCGTTCGTCGTTCGTTTCAGCCAAATGACGTCCACTACTGAACAAAAGCCTCTTCCAAGGATTTCCACAACGAACGATCCTCCGCTGCCCGCATTCAGCTTTATTTATAGACATGAAAAGTAGCCCGAAAAGCTATAATCAATACTTTGAATGAAACTGAGATCAATACTTTGCTTGCATTCAATAGTTGCCCCTAGAGGGATTCGAAGCTGAAACCGCGATTGTATTGCATATACGGGCAAACAGACAAAGCGATCGTCCGACAACTTACCTAACTTACAAACATGTTTATTTACGAAGCAACATTTTTACTAATTGACGTAAACATGTTTTCAGCGTTGCTATGTAAATGTTTTTACAGCATGGTATTTTTTGGTTGTTGACTCTTAAACATTTTATTTTCATAATAATAAAAACTTGTTTTTTTTCTATGCTGAATATCGTCAAGAAAATACATAAAATTCCATATCAACAAATTTGCTGTTTAATGTCTTAAAATTTCTCCCTGCAGCTGGACAGGACCTAAATTTATCCACTAAAAGTTAAAACCAGAAAAAATCCCTATAACCTGATGCAAAGCTATGTTCATTACTCTACCACGCAAAAACTATAGAAATATACGCGGACGAATTCGCAGCAAAAGCTATAGTTAAGTAAATGGTAGGATGTGTAACCATAGGCGCTAATTTCATAGTTACACTCGTGTCACATAGAACTTGAGTGACTGCAACTGAGTAACCTTGCCGCCGCTTGCGCCAGTCAAACTGGTCCTTACACGCTTCCTAAGTTCTAACACTGTCTAGTCTAGCTATAGATCTACCTAGACCTATCTTATGAAATTGATTAACTTTGTCAAATAAATCTTTGGCTGAGATTGAATCGAGTTTCAAATATTTTACGGACCTTAAGGGCTATATTTCACCGGGACACCATGGCGGCGCAACCAGTCGACGCTACCAACAAAATGTATGTACACTGTACAGCTCTATAGAGAGTTACTCACCTGGTGTCTGTTTGGTTGCGCAAAGCTGTATACATTTTGTTGGTAGCGGCGACTGGTTGCGCCGCCATGGTGTCCCGGTGAAATATAGCCCTAAGAGCCCTTTCCACGGCAATCCAGTAATTCAAGATACCGCAAAATTGAACAGTAACTGAATGAGTCCTAAGCCCGGTTAAGAGAGACGTGTTTGAATGACCAATCAGATCTATGAACCAAAGCTGAGCGAAGAGATGATGTGGAAATAACGAAATCTGATTGGTTATCAAACACATAGAAAGAAAGAAAGATACATTTATTACAATGGACATCACATAAATACATAGACATGACAGTGGCACATAATAAAGGAAGAAAAAATAAAAACGAGTAAACTGAGCAGTGCCACCCATTCACAAACAATATGCCCACTGCAACGGGACCCCACTCAGCATATGCCGTTGCCCACGGTGACGAACTGACGAAGGCCACAGCGCTGGTTTTCAATGTGCCCCATGCCGAGTGAGGGTCACGGACCATTTATAAATAAAAAAAGTAAGTATAAAACAAGATTTTCAGAATATTATACTGAACTGAACAAACTTGCTAATGTAGTTGCATAGTAATTTTCATGCTTGGAAAGGCATAGTCACACGTTGTCAAAGTGCTACGGTAGGTAGGTATATGTAACGTGTGACTACGCCTTTCCAAACATGAAAATTACTATGCAACTACATTAGCAAGTTTGTTCAGTTCAGTATTCTGAAAATCTTGTTTTATACTTACTTTTTCAGCGTCGTTTTTTGTCGTAGTTGGGTTTTAGTTTTTTTACTTTTTATTTATTATTTGTACTATTTTGGTGTTAAAGTGTATTTGTGGCGCATAATATTAACAAAAATTAAATTGATGAACTAATAAGTAGTAAAGAAGCTATGAACGAAAAGATGTGAATTATATGCAATCAGCCCTTGAATACAGGTAAAGTCACAAGCAAATGCTAGTAATATATATATATTCAAAATGTACAAGTAAAGCGCTTTCAAATGATACCAAACACGGCATATTTATCTTAACTTTATTTTTTAACTCTGTATGTTTTGTCCGCTAGAGGGCGCCACATTAGATTTTGTGAAACCCCATATAGCCTATAACCAGCGGACAATTACGACGCTTCTAATGATATGTCATTTGTCGAATTCTGATAAGTAGTTTAGAAGTTACGAGGGAACACATGAACATACATACATACNTCGCCGGTGGTGTCGCGGAAGTCTAAGGCTACGGCCGGATACTCGCGACACCCCCACTTGGACGATGACGGAACGCCGCGGAGGTTTTAGTGGGTAGGTATACCCCGTCCTTTTCAGGACGGAGCAGTGCCCTTCTCAGGGTGCCGGGAGTCCCACACACCACCCTGTCCCCCGGCAGTAGTGACGGTGCGCAAAGCATTTCCTCCGCGACAAAAAAAAGGGGGGCCCGAAACGAGCTGTGCCTAGGGGCCCCGAGATGGTTAATCCGGCCCTGCGTGTCGTCACCAGCTCGCCAAGTCAATTGATATACTCGTGTCCGAGAGACGATGCTGGCAGCATTTCCTCTCGCTGGAAAGCTACTTAGCTTTATCGCAAGGAAAGAGCCAGCATAATATAGACTGGCTCCTGTATGACGCCGATTTTTCGGCGCTAACGGCTCATAGCTACATTTTGGCTGTCAGCGCCGTTCGGTTAGCGTGTACTTGTCAGTGCGATTCTAAAACTAGCCTTGTATTTTTAAGGGAAACAATCCGAAAGAGTAATTTTGCATTCTGTGTCCAAGACTCAAGGTTTCAATAAAAAAAACTAAGAAAATAACGTAAGTCTCATCAACAGTTTATTCGTCATCGTTGTCGGAGTGCAGGTAGCGCACCTCCGGGTCATGCGTCGCGCGGCCGCGCAGCGTGGCCAGCGCCGCCCGCCCCCGCGCGCCCCTCGCCCCCGCCGCTAGCCACGCCAGCCCCGCGCCGCATACCAGCACCGCCAGCGTGATCAGAACTCCCCTCCAGGCGCTAGATTTAGCTGGAAATAATGTTAAATCATCATCATCATCTCAGCCATAGGACGTCCACTGCTGAACATAGGCCTCCCCCAATGCTTTCCACGTTGATCGATTGGTAGCGGCCTGCGTCCAGCGCTTCCCTGCTATCTTTACAGTGTCGTCGGTCTATTGCCGCATAATGTTAAAATTCGTTAACTTGTGATTCTGGAAAGGGAAACGTATGAGAAAGAGGTCGACCCATAGACCTCGTAAAGGTATAGGAAGGCGCTGGATTTTGCTAAAAATAATTCCAAACTTACAGCTTGTAGTTGTGGCAAGCATAACGTAGGTGGTCCACCATAAGACGACATCTTAAAGGTATAGGATGGCCCTGGATGTAGGCCGCTACCGATCGGCCAATCGGGAAATCATTGTCTCTCATTGGCTTATCTTCAGGAGTGGTAAATGAAAGTTTAGTCCTACACTCCCTACGCTCTAACGTAGGAGATGGGTTTAGGAGGCCTTATGTTAGCATTATTCTCCCTAGTCACCTCTTACGATATCGAAAAGAGTCAGCATGGTCCTATACTCTACAGTCTACCGGAACCACACGGCTATTAATTATACTAAGGTATAATATTAACTGCTTACTTTAGGGATACATAGCGCTGTCTGGAATTGTCCAAAAATATGTATTTATTTAAAGTGTCTGTAGGTCACCATTCATCATCATCAGCACTCATTTCACACAATATTTCACATTCGACCTCATTTTCATAAAACAGCCGCAGAAAAAGAAACCGCTCAGAACGTCAAGTGTCAAGTGACTGACAGCAAGGAAAAACTGTACATTTTTGACTATTGTAATTTTTCATCAAAGTTTTAGGGTGTCTATCTTAAATTTCTGGATTGTAAATATTCTTCTCCTTCTTTTCCTTTTTGTATGAGTGCGTGTTTTAAACTGTAAATTCTGTAAATGGCTTCTGTTATTTCCGCGTGACACGTCATACAGGGTGGCTCCGGACCACCTCTAAATGTCTATTACTAAAACATGAAGCCTACCAATAAACGATCTAATGGCGTATAGACTAANGGGGATGTTGCCTGGGTCAAAAAGCAAGAGTTTTAATTAGTCCGTCAGTTAACTTATCAAAAAATACTCTACCCGTATTTTTCACTTTTTCAAACTAATGAAAATTTAAAGAGATAAAGCGCCCCAAAGTTCATAAGAAGAGGCCCGTGACGTCAACGCTTGCTTAAAAATGCCGCACGTTGTGACGTCGTGCGCAACTTCAACGCACCATAACTATGTAATTATTTGTTAGATTGACAAATAAAATTATACGTGTCCAATACTTTTTGATATTAAACATTACGGACTAAAAAAATTTTTTTAGGCAACTAGCCTATTGTTTTTATTGATATGACTAAAGAAGCGTGTTCTTGTATGAGTTATTAAATTATCTAAATCGTAGAAGAAAAACCGAAAAAACCGAAAAACCCGGATTTATAACTGACAAAAACCGAGTTCCAAATTGTGTCGGTTATCCGGTTTTTTCGGTTATCCGGTTAACCGGTTTGCATGCCCTAACATACATACAAACATACATACATACATACATAGCCTGTCAAAATCATAACCCTCCTTTGGCTTTGCCGTAGTCGGGTAAAAATAAATAATATCATATCTCCTCTCGCCTCCGAATTTGTGGAAACCAGGCCTAATCGATGCTGTCTAGGGTGATACATCTGCCTAGCAAATGCCTACTCACTATTGTCTTGTAAATGCCCAGGTCATATCCGAGAAGACATGTAAAAGAAACATGCTTGACATAAACAAAATTCCATTGTTGTTCTGTTATGCATATAATCCTAAGTCAATATTATTCAGGCTGACCTTGCTTCGGGCCGAAACAAACGTTTGACGTCAGGTATTGATTAGCCGGCTGGTGTTTCCCTCGGTCCTGTCGGCATCTGTACTTTTTTATAAAATCCTTTGCTTTACTTAAGGTTATGGTAAGGAGTTCGTAGAATTGTCTTTTCTTCTTAGGGTACCCCAGGGGTGCCAACAGGGTCCTGTACCATTACCCTCGTTATCTATCTCAGATTCTTCTGAACCGTAATAGTTAAGCAGTTGAAATTAACACTTTTTTATTATTCTTTTCACTTAACAACAAATACCGACTATCTGGTGAAGGTCGCGGTAAGAACCTGGATGCGGGCAACGCAGGACCGTTCATTGTGGAAAGCCTTGGAGGAGGCCTTTGTCCAGCAGTGGACGTCATTTGGCTGAAACGACGAACAACAAATAAAATAAGAAGAGCCCCATACAAGATATTCTGTCGATTCTTCTCTCTTCGTAACCTACCACTTTTAATTACTGATTGACATTAAAAATACATGCAAATTAACATAAAGGTACCTTAGGGTGAATGACCCTTCTAAGATCTTAACGGCATTTTTGGGAGTGTCCGATTTAAATATGACCTTAAATACGTCTGAGGTTAAAATGAAACAGACAAACGCTTTGCTGCATGACAACATCGATTTTGAATTAATTTAATTCAATATAAAAAAATGTGTATTAGCGGCCGCCCGCGACTTCATAGTTCATACGCGTGGATCCCGTTTTACTCCCTTAGGGGTTGAATTTTGCAAAATCCCGTCTTAGTGAGCACCTACGTCCCAAAAGGAACCCTCATGCAGTGACCTTTCGCTTGTATATTATGTACTAGCTTTCCGCCCGCGTGCAATTTTTTCTGTCTCAGTAAAACTTTATCGCGCGCGTCCCTGTTTCAAAAACCGGGATAAAAACTATCCTATGTCCTTTCCCGGGACTCAACTATATCTATGCCAAATTTCATCAAAATCGGTTCAGTGGTTTAGGCGTGAAAGCGAGACAGACAGACAGAGTTACTTTCACATTTATAGTATTAGTATAGATCTAGATTTAAAGTTTAAAACCCACATGGTTCCGGTTGCATTCTGGACTGGTTTCTTGCTGAGAAAAACTCAATTTGAATTTTAGACTATGTTTCTTTACTATTTCTATGTTGATGGTGGTCAGTAATGACCGTTGCACTATAGTAATGTGTGTTTAATGCCACAAAATTACTACGAGCAAACTGAAAAAGACATTGATGCGAGACAATATTTACAAATGATGATGATGGTTCTACCACTGCTTCGGGACAATAAATGGGCCAGTAAGAAAATAACAATTAAAATGCTCATTAGAACTATAATAATGCCTAGCCTACTAGAACTTAAATTCTTTTACAATTGTACAATTTCTTTTTAGAAATGCTCTTCAATTAGCATACAATGCATGTTTAATAAAACCGGCTTTTTCAAAATGAATGTATTTCAATGATAATGAGAAAAAAATCTGCTGCATCAGATAGAACAGCCAAAATAAATGCAAAAAATAAATATCCTATTAATTTGTTGTCGGTTTTTCTTTCAATGGGAGAGTATGCCGAGCCCATTGCCACTTCATTTGATTAATAATTATCGCAGCAAGTTCTAATTTCCCTAGGGCAGGAGGCCTGCGCCCTTTATGTCCTCCTCCCACATCTACTAAAACTAGAATAATATCCTATTAATTTAATAAATCGTAAGTTTTTTTTTTCTTTACTTTGCCAAATATTATTTTTTCGCAGAATTTAACCTTATAAGCCACAGGAAGGATGCCCTATCAGTTCCTGTCTAAAATAAGTTTATTAAAAATCATATTTAACGCACTTTTACGTCCATTTCTAAAATTCTCTTAATTTATTCTATTAATACAATTAAATTCCTTTCATAGCAAGTTTAGTATATTTCGTTGTGACTACATTAAAATTCATCTTCCAAGTACCTAGTTTCCTTCTTATGAGTTAGCTTACTACGCAGTTGGTCAGCAAAATGTCGAAAATATTTTAATTTGGTTCATTAAAGACGTGTCTGACCATGTTATTTTATTGCATGGTGTAGAACATTCGATGGTCCGAGGTTTCCTGATCCGAGTCCATAGCTAATAATAACTATTAAATAGTAGATATACGAATATTAATAATTTTAAATCTAGTTTTGAGGCTTGTTTTATAATTACCTCCCTCGCAGCTTCTACGTGAAGCGATTTCGAATTAGAATCTGTCACGAATGTTACATTGTCTACTGGAGGCGTTGACATAATTTCGAGACTTCTAGAGTATTCCCAAGATTGCTTATCACTATGAAGTATACAGCAATCAATCAGAACCGTCTGGGGTAGACAGAGAATGTTATCTCCAATTGAACCTAGGTCGTGGGTCTAACTAGTCGTGAACTTGTTATGCAACTGTCTGTCTGCAATCAGTTTCTATTTTAGAATACTTATCCTGACAATCCTGTGGGTAGCTGATATGTCTATTATATTAAATTTCCAACGAGAGGCATCATCATTTCAGCCGCAGGACGTCCTCTGCTGAACAAAGGCCTTTCCCAATGATTTCCACATCGCACTGTTGGTAACGGTTGGATGCAGGCCGCTACCAACCGAGAACTCTATAATTTCTGCTATTTATCTACCTCTATTGATTCCTTCTGGATCCAAGACAGTTAAGATCCCATCAAAAACNAACGGTTGGATGCAGGCCGCTACCAACCGAGAACTCTATAATTTCTGCTATTTATCTACCTCTATTGATTCCTTCTGGATCCAAGACAGTTAAGATCCCATCAAAAACAATACTTGTCAAAAAAACCAAGTCTCGCAACTCAGTTGTTCTACGGTAAAAAGTTGTGAGATCCATGTAATACCAAGTCCAGGCCAGGAAATCTTTAACGTTTTACATAAATATATTGACTTGGCCATCGCATGAAAACACGTGTAAATTAAATTATTTAGTGCGATGGCCAAGTCAATAATTTATGTAAAACGTTAAAGATTTCCTGGCCTGGACTTGGTATTACATGGATCTCACAACTTTTTACCGTAGTAAAACTGAGTTGCGAGACTTGGTTTTTTTGACAAGTATTGTTTTTGATGGGATCTTATTATCATATTCCAAATGTGCTGAAATGTAAAAAAATGGACAGATAATCTTACCTATCATATCGAGGCAGACTTCGAAGTAGTCGGGACAGCAGTTATAGCTGACGAGGCAGGTATACGCGCAGCTACACCCTATCAGGGCCAGGTTGCCACTTCCACATCTGCCCTCGCATGTGCTAGCTGAAAACATAATAACGTTAAGCCGACATGAAATTCAGTTACATACATTTTTCAATGAGTTCACAAGGTCAGCGGTTAGTCTGAAACAATTTTTTGTCTATTGTAACAATAATCTTAGCTACCAATATTATAAATGCGTTTGCATGGAGGATGTCAACATGTTTGTTACTCTTTCACGCAAAAACCACTGAACGGATTTTGATGAAACTTTACAGTATTATTCTTTATAACCCAGAATAACATTATAGGCTATAATTTATAACGATCTGTGACAAACTAAATTTCACGCGGGTGAAGCCGCGGGCGGCTAAAACTAGTCATTCAATAAAGTTACTTTTTTTATTTATTTTGGAGTTCTAGGTCTAATCGTGAAGGAAATGAATAGTCACTACAATATTATGAAGTCCCTAACTGATCTGTTTTGCCTGGTTGCTGGTAGAGAATGGCACATGGCATTAAGTTCGCCTTTTGTACCGCTTATTTTGTGTGTGCAATAAAGATTTTAATCTTTACTTATAATAAATCTGTAGACAGGTCAATTCTGTACATGAAATATATTTTCAAAATAACTATCAGGGGGTGATTAGTGATCGATACTGATGCCAAAAATGCAATCAGTAAAATTTTTGTCTGTCTGTCTGTCTGTCTGTCTGTATGTTCCTTATAGAAACAAAAACTACTCGACGGATTTTAACGAAACTTGGTACAATTATTCTTCATACTCCTGGTCAGGTTATAGTATACTTAGGAATTCCCACGGGAACGGGAATTAGCGGGAAAATCCTTTTGTATGAAAAATCTAAACCGTTCAAGTTATACGCTTGAAATTTGGCATGCAGGTACCTTAGTAAACTTAAAGCTTAGTTACAACAGGATATTGCTAAATTCCCACGGGAACGGGAGTTAGCGGGAAAAAACATTTGTATGGAAAAATCTAAACCGCGTAAGATAGATAAAGGGGGTAAAACGGGATCCACGCGTACGAAGTCGCGGGCGGTCGCTAGTCAATAAATAAATTACTCACGTAACATAGCTGGAGGTGGAGTGACCATGTTTCTCTTGGCTATAGTGCAGTTCTCCCCTTGCAGTATGGCGACATCGTCGATGGCTATGTCACTGGTGAATCTCTTGCCTCGAATGCCTTCCATCACTATCTGGAAGATAAATAGTTTTGTATGAAGACGACTTTAATAACACTGTGGTCTCATAAGTCATCGTCATAAAAAATCATAAAAACCATCATTGGACTTAACGAACATTGAAAAAAAAAAGAATTGGTAAAATTGGTCCAGGTGTTGTTCAGTTATGCGCTATACCAACACATAGTTTCTGAGATTTCGTGAAGAGTGACTCAGTCAGTCAATCTTTTGCTTTTATAAATTTTATAATTATGGATTTATTTTTATTGGCGTTTGTACAAGAAGCGCAAGTGATTATCCGAGACAGGATTTTTTTAGGGCTGTGTTTTTCAAATTCTTTTTTCACATCTGTAATTTCACTAAACCTATTTTGAAAAGGTCATAGAATCAAATCAAAGGTCAAAGATTGTTTTAGTTAAATAACATTTCTGATTTACCTGAAAATTATCATTGAAATCATGAAGCTGGGAGACCCCCCTATACCAAAAGTCCCCCTGGTCTCCCCATTGCTCAAACAATACGTATTTCTTCCTTGTTTCTTCTGGCAGCTTGAGCATGGTCTGAAGAGGAATGTTGTCTGGTTTCTGGTACACCCTCAAGCCTCCGAGGTACCTGAAAAACATTATTTTGTTCATAAATCTTAGGTGCCCATCAATCCCAAATAATTCGTGCATTAGAAAAACCCTTCATGCATGAGCATCTGGTTCTGGTACAACTAAAACTCCAAATACCAATGTTTTTATGTCCTAAAAGATATACCTATCCCCATTTGCTTTTAACCACTCAGTCCAAATTATTAAAGCTACAGACGGAGGTGGTTGGGCCTAGGTTGAATTTCCAAGAGGAACACAGAAAAAAAAATAACTTTATGTGACTTCCCTTTAGTCAGATCATTGGAGACGTGAGTCAAATTGTACAAACAAAAATCTGTAAGTTTTCGATTCGAATGATCCATGCTAGAAGCATATAAGAAGAAGAAGGTTCGTCAAGACGATGCCCACCTGCCAAACATGTGGTAGTAGAAGGAGAAGCACCCATCCTTAGCTATTTCCATGTCGTATATGGGTGAGATGAGACGCGCCGTCTCGTTCTCTAGTCGGGACGAGCTCTCTATGTACATGTAATACCCTGGAAAATAATAAAATAGCTTTTTAATGTGTCCCAAGTAACTGTGCTCAATACTTAGTAGTTTAGTAATTAGGCACTTCAGGATTTCAAATCTTCAGAATCAGAAAAGCAAAGATGCTTGGATCCTGAATTCGAACAACAAATCAGCGAGGAACCAAATATGTAGTCGATGATAAAATGTCAATTCGGGGTCCCATTAAGAGCATTTTCATGTAAAATGTTGCCAAGACGAACCGTGTGGCTCGCACTGTGAAAAAGTTGTCAGATCTCATTCTAACTCTACACGCCCTAACTGTACAGCTTTTTTTTTGCATAACAAGGCAGGTATTTGACCACAATCGCACCTGATGTTAAGTGGGATGTAGTCTAGGATGGTACATATCTGCCCTGTAGTGCCTATTCACTCTCGCTTTGAAAAGGCCCGGATTTAAGTCTTCGGGAAAGACAGCAGCAGGCAGCGAATTCCAGTCCCTAGCTGTTTGTATAAGAGTCAGCGAAACTCTTAGTGCGAGCTGGTGGAATGTCGACAATTTAGGGATGGTAAGCTAACCTGCGTCTGGTTCCCCGGTGATGGAAGGGGGCTGGTGGAATTAGCTCGTGTAAGCTTTAACTATACATATGTGACATGGCAGTAAATAACTGCCGAATTACCTGCTCCTCCTTTCCCAATGGTGTGGTCGAAGGAAGGTCCAGTGTTCATGAAGGAGCTCGGCGTCTTCCTGTTCAACCGCTCCCAGTCGAAGTCGTGGAGGCTGTCTTGGATCCAGCCGCACAGGTCTGGGTCTTCGAAGTCGCAGCTCGTCTTCGAAACCATTGCGGAATCTGAAGAAGACAGGTTCATCTGCTAAGTTTTCTATAGTTTATAACGTTTTCTAATTGACCTTTGATAGGTAGAGGATATTTCTGAAAGAAAACTGGGAAAGTAAGCCTTCAGATTAATTGGACGTAGTTTGTCACATGATACCAAAGAATCGACCAAAGAACGGTGAAACTTCAAGTCAGGTATCTTACGCTGACAACCAAACATTGAAAGAGAGGAGATCTTCTAGATTTGACCAAGCGTGAGAAGAACTCACACACGAAGTGTGTGCACATCATGTAATTTTGCTAATTTGAACAGCACACCAACAATGCCTAACCAACAGAATATTGTTAATACCTATTAATAAAGTTCCGTTGGTTTACAGGACTATTTACATCTCTCGTCCTCACCGCTGCAACTCCTGTGTAGCCAGGATCTACAGCTTGACCGCCAATAAAAACCCAACCAGTGAAGGTCAAGTTTGTCGGAAAAGTTAAACTGTCATTAGACCCGTAACGAAATTAATCAGAAGAGCATAGGAGGAGTTTGAAGTTAAGCTTTGACTTCCCTCCAGTGCAAAGCGGATCGCGGTCCCGTTGGTTTGCTTTAGGTACGGAACCTTAACAAAAGCACCTGAAAGTTTTCATAGAAGTCTCTTACCAACACAAGAAGGCATAGTAGTGTTCCACGACTTTCCATCGCAGTACATGGCAGTTGTCCCGACCAGCTTGAAGCCAGGCAGGCAGAAAAACACTAGGAAGGCGTCCGAGCGAGACGTGATGACCAGACCGTTCGTCAGCTGAGGCACTGGGCACCCTGGCTCTAGAAGTTTATGAATAAAAGTTATTTATTTTTTGCAATTAGGTAGGCTCTAAAAAACCGCTTCTACACTACACATTTATAGAACATAGTAAGGAGCGAATGTGAAGCTTTGATGATTTGTGTTGGAATAAGGATACCCGATTCGGAATACGACGCTAGCTGCGCTGTTCGCAAATCACAGCGCAAGTTTTTAGATGGGGAGAATGAAGTTTTTTTTTAGAGAACCAATGCCTTGGTGAAATTATTGGCTTATAATATGAAATAGGCAATAAATACATATTGTGAGAGCACTAGTCTGGATGCAATCAAAAAATTAGTATTGATACTTGTAGTTGAGTTGGAGATAAAAAATCTGCTCCAGTTTTGTGAGCTTTTGGGTTCGGCTTTTACCCGTGGTCCCCCCAACATGTCCCCCTGGTGGGTCCACGGGTATTTTTTTTTACCCGTTGTCCCACCGTTCTGAACTGTGTTTGCCAGTGGGTCTACGGGTAATTTATTTTAACCATGGTCCCACCGCACTAAGTGGCAAACATTGCATGTCACCTAGGTATCTATAATAAACTAATAATAAATAAACCCACATGTGTGATGTGAAGATATTATAAAAAATGTTCTTGCATTAATTTCGATGTATCCTTTATTCTCAAATAAATGTGAGCTATAATTATTTTCTATAATTAATTATAGATTTTTTAATAATATTATAGATAGGTACCTAGGTGACATGCAATGTTTGCCACTTTGTGCGGTGGGACCATGGTTAAAATAAATTACCCGTAGATAGACCCACTGGCAAACACTGTTCAGAGCGGTGGGACAACGGGTAAAAAAAAATACCCGTGGACCCACCAGGGGGACATGTTGGGGGGACCACGGGTAAAAGCCTATACGATATTTGCTTGGGTGATACGTACTGACACACGTCGGTTTAGGCGTGTCCCACTGCGCGTTCCGGCAGGTGGCGTACCGACTGCCGACCAGCTCGAACCCGTAGTTGCAGGAGAACCTGATGAGCTTGCTGCGACTGCGCCAGCGCAGTCTGCCGTTGGCCAGGCGAGGCACCACGCACTGGCCGGGGACCATTTCTGAAAGAATTCGCAAATAAAAATGAATTGATGTTCGTTAGTCTGTTTAAAACTCGAGAACGGCTGGGCCGATTGAGCTGATTTTGGTTTTAAAATGTTTGTCGTAGTTAGTCCAGGGTAGGTCTAAACGGTGAGCAAATACGCGCGCGATATTGTTTTTCTTTGACAGACAAAATTCCACGCGGGCGAAGCCGCGGGCGGAAAGCTAGTCGGAAATAATTATTATTGCTGTCGGGATTGCTACCATGTACCTTAATTTTGAGTTTCCGATATTTCGGCACTGTTGCAAGCGCCATGGTCACAGAGTAACTGACAAAACTTGCGGGTGAGATGTTATGGGCAGTGCTGAAATATCGGTAACTCAAAATTAAGGTACATGGTAGCAATCCCGTCAATAATATTTAATTATGTTAGTGACTATGAAAGTTTAAAACAATAAATCTGAAATCATTCCTACAAAAAATATGGCTTCATTTGTTGCCCATTAAGACTGTCCTAGGTTTTCTACTTCAGCGGAGTTGTGCTTAAGTGCAGGGCATCCAAAAGGGGCATTTTTGCGGTTTTACGGTTATATCGCGTAAAGGACTTACAGTATCGAAAACTGATCTTCATGACGGTTGAAGGGCATTTAATACTGCATTGAATAAGACCAAATTCATTTGTTTTGAACAAACCGTTCTCGTGCTTCAACAAACTAGGTAGAACAATATAATAATGACCCTCTCTACGTAGACACCTCCAATGACTCGTTACCCGCAGACTCCCAAGCCTTGTAAAGAGTCACCTTAACCAGCGTATCCCTGTCAAGGCTTGCGAGTTGGATTTGCCTATCCTTGTTCGTCCCAGCAGATTCTTACTACGCTTGCTGCACCTCTTCCTTGCACTCTCATGAACGACTCTGTGTTATCTACTGTGGCTGCCCCTCTTCCTTGCACCCTCCTGCACGACTGCGTTGTCCAAGGTTCAATACCTACTTTTCTACCCTATCGGCCATCACTTCACAAGCTATGTGCCCCGCCCACTGCCACTTTATAGCAATTCTGAGGGTTTGTCACTAGCGGGCTATGAGTTTGCCTAGTTTTAACTCTATTTCCGACCTCCTATGTATAAAAATAATATAATTTAGCTTGTTTTAAGTTTGTTTATGTTTAGACCAGCCACCTCCCACGCCCTCTAACGTCGGATGTTTCCCGCTGAATCCAGGAGTGCGTCCGGCCGATAACACAGCGGTCTGCTATCACTGATTTGCCACGGTTTTATAAAAACAAGTCAATAAAAAATATATGCGTCACACAATGCAGTTCTAGAGTATATATTATTTTATTTAAGCTAATTAATTATGCTTGTGTCACGAGTGGGCTCACTACCAATAGTCGAGCGTCAGCAGGGTTCGAACCCGCGTTCCGCGGATCGGCCAATCCGACTCCTTCACAACAGTGAAGAACGTTATTTTCCTAGATACGGAACACCGTATCTAGGAAAATAACTAGTTATAATTAATTTCATAGCTATCGAAAATCTATTTTTGTAATAATAATAATAATTGAGTTTTCAGAGCTTCGTTCGTTTCAGCCAAATGACGTCCACTGCTGGACAAAGGCCTCCCCCAAGGATTTCTATAACGACCGGTCCTGCACTGCCCGCATCCAGGCTCTTCCTGCGGCGGGCTTCGTCGGTCCACTTAGTGAGAGGTCTGCCCACGTTTTCAGAGCTTAAAGGATGTGTTTTTTAAATCCTCATACAACTTTGTGGCACGTGGTTTCCACCTGTCTCATATTGGTAGAGTCTGATACAACAAAATAATTCTCTAGTAATTGGAATGTACTATTCTTTAGGACAGAACTTGTCTATAAGTAGTATGCAATAGGCTGGTACAAGTATGTCCCACATGGTTACTGAAAAACATTTAAAAAGAGAGAGAACAGAGGGTTTATTTATTTATTTATCTTATTTTTGTCTTCAGTTTCAGTTACCTATTTGAAAATATCTTCATTTATTTATTATGTTGTTTTTTTATGTAAGACAAGGCAGGTTGACCGCAATCGTGCCTGGTGTTAAGTGAGATGTAGTCTAGGATGATACATAATCTGCCCTGTAAGTGCCTATTCACTCTCGCCTTAAAAAGGCACGGATACTTAGTGTTCAGGAAGTATATTATTTTGGACAGGATATTATTCGTTACCTAATTATAGAATAACTACCTACTACCACATAATATGTAATAGTACCTACTACTATTTGTACTTATTTAACGATTAATCCATACCCAAATAAATACGTTATTAATCATGGGTCTTACTTTGCTTTTGAACAAAATGTATGATGCGCAAACCAAAATATGCGCAGGCGGTTATCATTAGAGTGTTTTGGTATGTTTTTTTCCTCAAATTAATATGAGCGAAACCACGGGTACATTTAATGAATTAATAATATGAATTAATAATATGAATTTCGTGGTTAATATACAGCTAACGATCTCCCAAAGCTTCGACGCGCGCGTTCTTTATAAAAACTTTTTACCCAACTGAGGAGGGTTATGTTTTTTGCTCAAAAATTGAGAGGGCGAACTTAAACTTAGGGCATTCTCTCCCAGTAAGTAATCATTGAATCCAGCAGAGATGTTACATGATAGTTCATAGTAAAAATAAGAATAAACTTACCTACTTTATGGTTACTCTACTTTTCACGACTTCCAGGATTAAGTTAATTACGATTTCAATTTAAAAGATAAATTTCAAGAAAATAAATGTTCAATCGCTATTTCATTATCCAGAATTTTTAGTCTACCACTCGCAACCTTAGAATAATTATTTTAAGCTCGCAACATTTTGTAACATGTTAAAGTTGAATTAAAATACTTTTCATTTAATACTTAAACAGATGGTTGAAATTCGGATCTTAGATCAATAGGTATAAAAATTAGAGATGAAACGGATAGTTGTTTGGCCGGATACCGGATACCGGATATCCGGCCAGCTGCCAGGCCGGATAGCCGGATATCCGGCGGCCGGATAGTTGGCCCATTGTCTCGTTGCATGTCGTCACGAGTTTAGCACCGCACAGGTGCTTCGAACACGATCAGTGAGTCTATTAGTAGACTAGACTAGTCACACTTTTCTAAAATCGAATCCATCCGAATAGAATGTCAGATTTTGCCACTTGTCTAGGGGGCAGATCAATTCGGGCGATTTCGGTTTCTATCGTGAGTGTGTGATTGAATAGCGAAAATTAAATTACTTTACTTGCTGCGTAATCTGACTGAACTGCATGCATCATGTCATCAGACCATCAGTGAAAAAAAGGTCGCCCATTTTTATTTGGCAATATTTCGACGTTAACAGATATTTACTATTTATGTACATATTCGTCATTAGAGTGAATAGCCCAGTGGGTCTAGTCAAAATGCCATCGCAAACCAATAGGAAGTTTTCACTAATGTCAGTCGCCGCGTCACCAATAATTCGATTCGATCGGAAAATGGCAGCCAAAATGCACATTGAACCACCAACGACGCGGCGATATAAAAGTTCATTCAAAATCGAATAAAAGTTAAAAAATGTCTATGACTTTGCGATTGTTTTTACTTTTTTTAGCTTTTTTTTTTAATTTGTTTCTTCCTTCTTTCTGCTCTCTGTTTATTTATTTATATTATATTATATTTGACAAACGTCTAAAATCTGTCAAACTCCATACAAAAAACTCCGGTTTACGTCATAGTTACGGTCAAAGTTAGGTGGTACAACTCACCCTATTGGTTTTCGATCGAATCGAAGCTTATCACGTTTTAGTAATCGCAATGAAAATGGCGGGTGTTGCGATTCGATTCGATTTTGATTGAGTATTAAATGCATGTTGGCTAAGCCTTTGTATGGTAAATTTCAATCCATTCTTTCGATTATCGATAGGTAGGGCTTTGCGATTCGATTTTTTGCCGTTTGACTAAGCCTTTTTTGCTATCGACCTCTTTTGCGATTTGTTTATTTGTTTGCGACTGGTTTGCGATGGGTTTGCGATTTTAAAGTGCGTTTTGACTAGACCCGCTGAGAAATAAATTAGTTTTTTGAAAGGCCTTAATAATGGCTTTTTTGTAACTTTTTGAACTTTAAATAAAAGCCGTCATTATTATAAGCCATTTTATTGATATTTACCTCAAAGAATAATGTAATTCATTTTATTAATAGGAAATTGTCGTAGTTTTTTAATATCCGGTATCCGGCCGGATAGTGAGTTACTATCCGGCATCCGGCCGGATAGTAAATTTAGGCCGGATATCCGGCCTACCGGATAGTTGCCGGATATCCGTTTCATCTCTAATAAAAATCATCATGAAAATTGAAAATGTAACATAGTAACTACTCGTATTCGTAATAAAAGGTATACCTACCTAATTATGGGTAATAAAATTGTATTTCAATTGTGACGAGTAGAAGTAGGTAACTGCAAGCAAAAGGTCAGTCTAGGGCCGGGAGTGCTGGGAAGGTTGGGAAGTAATTTGCCCAGCTGTGGGACACAGTATAAAGCGCTTTTATAACACAGTCATCCAATCAACTATAACACCAATAATGACACGTTTATAATAATGTTTAAATCACAAACATATTTTTATCACTAAAAATAATTGAATTAGTTTGGTAAAATAAATAACAAAAATTTTAATACTTACGAGCATCTATGACGCTTAATACAGATAAAAACAAAATCCATTTAAACATGTTCACTTGTTACTATCACTAAATTAAAATAAAATGTAAAAATTTAATAAATTATCCGAAATAAAAACTGTTTGTTAACAACATGAGTATGTTCTGGTTACTGGGTAATGATCATTTTGCAAAGTGACTTTTAACTGGGTCAAAGATTAAACGAGCGGCAGAAACGTCACTCCATTTACTGAAACATTCGAGCTTCAGCACTACGAGGCAGAGCGCCCTCGTCCAGAAATTACTATACGTGTACGTCTCTTAATTTAAAGATTTATCCATATCTCTTTTCTCAACTTACTTTATGCCAGGCAGGATATCGTCGCAAATATTCCACTAGTAACGATAGTGTTTCTATGGTAAAATAAAAATAAAATATTATGCAATAAAATTTTTGAATTTGAATTTAAATACTTAAATACCAAGGATTTGCACTACTTTTGCTTCTTAAAATTGTCTGGATGTTTCACATGTTTCTTATTATAGTTACTTGCTGCTAGGATAATGGATTTTTAAACGTTTAATATTCGTATTATTTTTATGAGTATCATGTAGGTACTCGTGTTTATAAATACACAACAAGGGTTCCGATTAGCAAGCCGGGCTCACATTCGATGGTTGGCAGAAATTTCTTAGTACATTCAGGACTAAAACTCGATGTAGGCAGATAACTCCAAACGCTTTCAGGACGGTAGCCTTCTGCGTATGTATTTAATCTTTGCCCACACGGGATGCGCGCGCGCAGCTATCGGAGGAAGCTTCCGATATTCTGCTGAATGCTATCAACCGCTGACTGTATTTTTAACAAACAGATTACTACAAAGAATTTAATCAGTATCTTATCGCAAAATTCGGCATCCCCTATTGTTTCCAGTGAGTCATAGACAACAGGTCTATGGTTTTAATGGTTTTATCTTTCTATAGCATGCGTACTTGCTTTTTAAAATATATTTTATTATATTAGTATTTTTCTAATAAAAGTGCAATTAACTTTATATTTGAAAAATACCTACTGTCTACAAAGCACCCATGAATTTCGATGTTTCGTTATTTCATGAAATGTTTCTCTTCCTCGTACGCGCTATACAGGGTGTGGTTTTGTAAAACAACTTTTTACTAGTAAAAGTAAAGTAATAGTTAACATTTTATTTACATTTTTCTTGTAATTACTTTCATGTGTACTACCATGATGAGATTTTGGCACTAACTAAAAACTTTTCAAAAACTAGAAAAGTTAAGTTTGATTTTAAATGAAAAAGAAATGTAAAGGATGGGTGGGTTAATAATAAAGAAAGTTTTTAACTTGAACATCGTTTACTGACAAACGTTTTTGTGTAGTTTACTTAAGTTAAAAGTAGGTAAGTAATTAAATAAACAGTAGATTAATTACTTATTTGGTAACAAAAATAGTTTAATTTATAACTAAAACTCTATTTTGCCTATTCATCACACTGAAATCATCATTTCAAGGAAATCATTAATTGACTGAAACCATACTGAAACACTAGGCTGAGTTTCACCACCTAACTTTAACGGTAACCGGTGCTTTTTGTATGAAGTTTGTCAGATTGTTTACGTTTGTTAAAGTTATAGTACAGGTTATAGTAAGATGGTGCAACTCAGTTTTAGGTTATAAAGAGGGTTTCCTTTATAAGATTAGACCAGTTGGCGCCACTGCACTGGCGAGTGATAGATAGGACCTTCTGACAATGGAGCCAACTTCGTGATTGCAAATTAAAACCGCTTTAACGCTCACCGTGGCACTACTGCGTACCTAAGTCAAGTGACAGGACCTTAGTGGACCAGTGGCTCCAACTTGTGAAGCCCTCATTTAAAGCTGCCCCCTAGACCAGCGGTTCCCGAAAGGTGGTCCGCGGAACCCTAAGGTTCCGTAAAAAATATTATCCCACGTTTCGTGACCGACGTTGTTCGCGCGCACCGACTTGTTTACGCACAAGAGAGGGGCAGGGCGTGCGGGCGGAGTAGTACGGGGGTTCCGCTAGGAAAAGTATAATCAGTTAGGGTTCCTTGGAAAAAAAATTGGGAAACTCTGGCCTAGTCAAGTGTCAAAACGTGACAGTTGTTATAGATCGTGCCATCCACGAAGACGCGCCCCACCAATTTTTGGTCGAGGGAATCGCGGGGTGCGGGGAATTTGATCCGAGCAATCCGAGCGTCATTATTGTAGTGTGCGTGTGCACTCATGGATATTTTAGCGTGTACCGATAACACTCAAACATTAGCGTAAGAATGGTGTGGCGCGTTTTCGTGGATGGCATTATCTATCTTATATTTTGATTCACGTATACAAGTAGGTATCTACACACAAGGAAACGCCGGAGCGAAGGGATTTCAAAATTACAACTGTTACGTTTTGCCCCTTGTCTATCAGGGGGGCTGAAACGTTAAACGCTTTATTTCGAAGAGAATAATATAAAATGGCAGCGTTGCAATAGACAATGTTTTTCATTGATACTGACGGATACTCGGAAAAAATTGTATTTTAATTATTTTTTTCTTTAAAATAAGCACTTAGTCAAAATCACTAGCCTATCATTTCGAGCTTACCTAATTAAGTATGAAGTGGGTGAATATCAACAAACTCGTTTTTTGCCTAATTCCGGTGGCGAATTTTAATTTCCACTTTCCAAAACTTTTTTGTGGCAGAAATAATAGTAAATAACTTGTATTATTCAATGATATGGTAGAGATCAAAATATTATTAATACTTCTCGAGATATGTCAATTTGAAATTATCAAGAGCCACCGAAATTGTATTTGAGCCACCGGAATTAAGAACCAATCCACCGAAATTTATTTATACAGCGGACTTCGGAATGTTACGGATGATTGTCTCAAATTACTTATTTATTTGTAATCAATTAAGTATTATTATCCAGTAAAGATGTTTATAATTAAAAACAATATTCAGGCCTGTGTTGTGACCCTAAAAAAGCATCAAATCTTCCCACGTGAGTCGTAATAGCCGACTAAGGAATCAAAATACTGGAGGGTGGGCTGCAGCATCTTTCCGGGTATTATACTACCATACTGGAACTACCAACCAGCCTGCTAAGCATGGTGATAACGGCAAAATCCCTCCATAGAGAACAAATCCAAAACTTTCTGGCTCTAGCCGCCAACAGCCCCGTTATTCTAGAGTCATCACAAAGACATCATACATGACCCTCAAACCCAGAAACCAACTCTAGTCCCGGGAGGGCGACCAACTGCCCCAGGTTGGTGTTAGGTTTATCTTCCATAAGTAAAAATATTGGTCCAGGCTAGCCAAGTTTTCATGATGGTATCATACCTATCCTATACTCAGAATTACGCAACTAATTATTCGCTAAAGACCATGCGAACTGGAGATTAAGTATGAAGATATTTCTAGATCTATACCAGCTACTGAACTAACACATTACATATTTGTGACAGGGTAATTTAACGGAAAACTATGCAAACCTAGCGACAATGAGCTAGATGAAAGTAGTACAATTAAGAAACGGAGGACTAAATCCAGCCAGCCTCATAGAGAGAGAAGGCCTAGCAAAAGATGCCAGAACTGTAAAAGCGTACTGAGCTGCACCCTAATAGTACTGCAAAAATCAAAATGTAGTAATCATTTTTAGACGAACAGGCAATTTAATCACATTTGCATTCTCCGATCACCACACAGCTTATGACCGCAGTCTATGAAGGAACACTATCTGCGGTTGCGATCCTCATCAGTGAGGGACCGAGGAAGAAGAAGAAGTCATCACCGAAATAGAAGAATGCCGAATAAAAGATGCTCAAAAGCTGTCGACTGATGAAGCCTAAGCCACGACCAGTGCCAATCCAGCTCCAAAGCCCCACGAATTTTCATCTCGAGTGGCAGAATAGATTGCAACCTACGAGACTAGGGAAATTTTAGCTGTTTCAGGACTATTCTCATCTGTTTTTAAGATTCTGCTTAGTATCGATGTATAAATAGCTATCCAAGTCCTCACGCTGATACAAAGTGTATTATAGAGACGATTTTTTGTAATAAATCGAAAGTATGTATTTGCGAGGACCAAATTGAATATACCAACATGAATAACGAGGATAGCAGAACCATTTTGGTAAATGCCTAAGCTGCTAGGAGAGATTAAGAAGCACTACTAGTAATTAGGCTGAAGATCGAGATTATTCCGACACTTTAGCGAAGATATCCTAGACTTTAGCTTGAGTGAGATTAGAATGCCCTATTAAAAACAACAAGGTATGTACCAGGAGATAATGAAATCACAACTGAGCTTATGAAATCAGATGGAATGCTAGTACTAAAGTTCTCTTAAATACCACCATGTTTATTGGTCGATAAACCAAAAAATAAGACATGGTGGTGGTGCTAGAGACTGGAATGGAATGGACGTTGGCGATGGTCCAGAGTCAGGTGAGGCAGCTTTTTCCTGAAACATGACACTCTCGCTATCCAACATCCAGTCTCCCAGACAACCTCATTTTCGAAAAGACGTTCGTAATACTACGTATACATATTTAATGCTGCATCAAATTATGCAGAAGACTGAGGACTATAATCAGTCATTATTATTGGCCTTTTTGTACCTTCTTCGATTCGGTCAAGACCTTGGCTGTGCTACAGTCTCTTTAATGGCGTCAAATTGACTGTCGATACATGTAACTTCTGAATTTTGTATGAAATTTGTATGAAAACTTCATCATATCAGCCCTCCCCCAAGATCAGAACTCGAAACTTACCTGATTGCTGCGAGGGTTCAGAGTTGGAGACACGATAATCTCTTAAAGTCTTCACTACCTCCCACTTAGAGGTTTTCAAGCTTCTGAGCTAGACCGAGCTCAGTATCAAGATACGGCGAGTACATCACACAACTTCGATTCACTGACGATATTGTAGTTATGACTGAGACCTTAGTAGACCTAGGTACAATGCTCCAGAGCCAATAAGACCAATTCCGGCAATAGATTCGCCACCGGAGCCACCGAAATTGCGCCACCGGAATTGAAAAACTGTTACAAAATTCAAATTATAAAGAAAACTATAATTCAGATCAATAATTTCTGTATGCAGATACAACAAAACACCAAACTTTAATCATGTTAAAGAATCGTTTAGCATCTAAGTATGTAGCTTTCACTCATACACTTGCCAGCGAAATTGAAAAATTTTGTATTCCTGTGCCGCTGATACAAATATTTACGAGTCTGCTGGAAAAACAATACCACAAGTCGCAAGTCTTTATAGCCCGATCAGGAGGACACAGTTGAGTGATGCAGGGAAGAAGAACTCTACGTCTCTCAAAGCTTCTTTGGAGAAGTAAGAGAGTGTCAAAATTGAGCCACTGTAATTGCTTTTTTTCGTGGGACAGTTTTGAAAGGCTATTTAAAACACTTAAAATATGAAATATCACATTTCTTTCATATCATTTGGAAGTCTTATTTAATGTATTTTATGGCTATACTATTTTTAAATTACTAGAATCCCCGAGAAAGAAGGAATAACACAATTTATGAGTAGAAATAGAGTGAGGACGCGCCACCGCTATTAGATTTTGGGTCTTTGAAATTTTTTTTAGTACATAAAATAACTACCTATTGTCCTGAAGACTTTGCTATCGTGTAAAACGCTGTATAAACTATATACAGAAAAAAAATCATCGCTCTAGTTACATTTCTCCCATCGATTCTCAGCTCCGCCGCGTAAAAAACGTGTTTGGGATATTCACCCAAGTAAACATATTTACAGTCTTAAAGTTAGGAAGCTCATTTTTCTCACTCACTTAGAAGTCACAATATCATCTGATCGAAATTTTGGAAAAAACAATATTGGCAATTTTTCAATTAAATAAACATTGACACCGATTTAAATAAAATACCAAATAGGTATGTATTGCAAAAAAAGCACCTAGGGTCATAGGATAGTAAAAGGCCGTACTTTTCTTATAAAAAACAATTCTCAAAACTCGACTAGGTAAATCTCACCCATAGATATTTAAATCAAAAAATCAACCATTAAAAGTCACCATTTGCTTTAAATTGAATCGACTTTAGAGCTCACTTAAGACTGGTTTGATGCTATTTTTATCTTAATCTAAACAAAACCGTCGATTTCTTTTGGCGCGGTTCACATGAGTCATAGCACAACACAAATGGAGTGAACGATATTACGCCCGTATTCACAAACATTACTATGAGGTCTCACAGTGCGCGTGGACGCACAGGGTGATACACAAACCAATCACAGAGCTCTGTTCAACTGCTTTATTTAAACAAGCATCGTTTGTGAATACGGGAGACAGACTGATACAACACAACCAAATAGAGATTGAATTTATTGAAAAGCGTACTAAATTCTCTCAAGCTAAAACATACAATAATCCAGTGAAGCACTGTGTAGCTAGGATCTACAGGAACTGCTATCTTTATAACTTACATTCTAATGCCTAGTTCTACATTAAGTATCTTATACATAAAAGTAGTATTACCTACCTACATACAGGGTACATAATAATGTGTTTCTATTATGGCCAGCCATATTCATAGTCACTATAGTCAGTCAAAACGTTTTATTTTTGCAGCCTCACTTAACTCTTCAACCACACACGTAATCACAGAAAATAATCCAGCAATTCACACTTAGTGGAGGAGGATTATGTCCTCCAGCAATCGTCATCAGGTCATTTATTGTCCTGTAGGCCTAAGATGCGCGCCGTGATAACTTTTATCGACGTCAAAATGTATGGGCAAAATCGATAAAACGGCGTGATAACCGCTTATCGCGGCGCGCATCTTAGACCTACAGGTCTCCACTGCAGAAACACGACTCTCCAATTTACCAGAGGTAAATGATGGATTTGACCGACACTCCCCACACTGACCAGACGGGTTGAGGAGGCTTGATTTTCACATGTTTCTCCCTTAGTCACCTCTTACAGGCGCGGATCCACCGTTGTGGGCACTGTGTGCATGCCCACAACCCTAATTTGCTTGTTTTAATTATGATCTATTGATAAGATCGATAGGCATGTATGTATGTCCGGGCATGTAGTGATTCAACTCTCACTTTGCTAATTTTTGGTGGCTGTGCCCACAACCTTTTTTGAGGGCTGGATTCGCTCTTACAACATCCGAGGAAAGAGTGGGTGTGGTATCTCCAATTCATCAGACAAATTGAGGATTTGGCATACACTCCCCTGAACAACGGATAGTGGACACCTGATCTTCACATGTTGTCGTCTGTTACGACATCCATGGGAAGAGTGGAGGTGGTCTATTCTATTCTGCCAAAACCACACTGTCTCCAGCAATGTTTAAACTTAAGGTTTATTTAGCCTACCCTCCCCACACTGACCAGACAGGTTTGGGAGGTCTGATGTTCACAAATTCTACCCTCAGTCAGCTCTTAAATCCATGGGAAGAGAGGGCGTGGTCCTACTCTGCCGAAGCACTAGACTCCCCAAAATGACCAGACGGATTGAAGAGACTTGATGTTAGCATAGTTCTCCCTGAGTCACCTCTTAGACATTCGAGGGATAAAATGAAATAGGTGTGGTCCATAGAAATATAGAGAGATGTCAACTAATGCGCTGAGTTCGAAACTCGTCGCATTAGAAATTCGCACACACAAAGTAATCCAAATATTATTATGTGCTCATTATCCACTGCGGTATCAGTACTCAACGTTTGAATAATCTTTAGTACTACGCAAGCAATGTAAACTGTTTACATTGATGTCATTGCTGTCACGAGCAATGTGTTCTGTTTTTGGGCATATTGCTGCGACACCAGCCCCGCCCCCTTTTCACATTGCCCTTTAGTTTCTGTGACCTATGGTGTGGTCCTATTCATGCCGGGACCACACGGCTATCCTCTACCAATGTCCACATCACTCTTCATCATCGTTCCTAATCACCAAGTACTGCACTTCATAGTCCCTGCATGGCATGTTGGCTTGCCGTCTCATTCGCTGCCACCACACTCGGCCTCGCTCGCTCCTCAGGGATCTCCTCACGAAGAGCACCAAACAACTGCCGAGGATCACCACGGCTGCGGTGATGAGGACCGGCTTCCATTTTGGAATACCTGGAAAGAAAAATATTGGAATTTATCAAAAACTCAATTTGAAGTCTGCCTTACCAGAACTAACGAGTCTTTTTGTTTTTTGTCTTGTCTAGTTTGCCTACAAAACTGCGACAAGTAAATTATACATAATTATTATCGTTTATATCGGGGCTTCCCCTGGGCCCGTCAATCGAAAATAAACGTAGATAGTGGCAATCAGTACACAACCTACTTCAAGTAGGCTACTTGCTTTTTTTAGCATAACTTTTTTAAGTCATTGAAATGGGCCCAATTTTAGAACTTGACAAGCACCTTGTTATTTTGAAATTTTCTTGAAAAATGAGAATGTTTGTATTCTCTTTGTAGGTTTCTTATCGTAAGTTACTTCAAAATGTTTTATTTAACTCCTAATACCTATCTTCATACTTATAATTTTTAGTCACCATCCTGCAGTAAACCCGCGTACAACTACTAGTGTTCTCAAGAGTTCATGGTCTAAGATTACGCAATCGGCATGCGACAATCTCAAGATAATGCTTGACCTCTCACATTCGGAATACAACAACGAACGTATTGAATGGAGATTCCTTTGCATTAGTAATTCCTAATTAATCATGCATGCATTCAGTGAAGTCCTCGATGAACTGTGTGTATTATGAAATCCAAAATTAACTCAAGAATAGATTCGACTTATTATTGATCCAATCCAAATTACAGACATTATTTTGTGGATGAGAAAGTTCAGGCAAACTCAGATATTATTATTTAATTAAATCTATTATCTATAAAAGCGAAAGGTCACTGATTGACTGACTCACTCACTCAGACACTACAAGCGCTAGGAGTCTCGAATTTTGAATGGGGTTTCTTTTAGAACGTAGGTGCTCACTAAGACGGGATTTTGCAAAACTATCGCGGGCGGCCGCTAGTTCAACATAAATTATGGTACTTACCATCATTAACAACTTGCGGCTGCTTTATTTCACTTGATTCACTTTTCGCATTTTTATTTTCATTTGTTCCACCTGGAATTAAAAACAAAATATTAGTAGGTATCTAAAGTGTCTGAATTATAAAATATTCTCAAAAGAGGTACCTATCAATGAAAGATTTTTTATAGTCATCGCTTCCCCTGGGCTTCCCAGTCCGTCAATCGAAAATAAACGTAGATAGTGGCAGGCAATCAGTACACAACCTACCTCAAGTATGCTACTTGCTTTTTTTTTAGCATAAATTTTTTAAGTCATTGAAATGGGCCCAATTTTGGAACTTGACAAGCACCTTGTTATTTTGAAATTTTCTTGAAAAATGAGAATGTTTGTATTCTCTTTGAAGGTTTCTTATCGTAAGTTACTTCAAAATGTTTTATTTAATTCCTGATACCTATCTTCATACTTATAATTTTTAGTCACCATCCTGCAGTAAACCCGCGTACAACTACTAGTGTTCTCAAGAGTTCATGGTCTAAGATTACGCAATCGGCATGCGACAATCTCAAGATAATGCTTGACCTCTCACATTCGGAATACAACAACGAACGTATTGAATGGAGATTCCTTTGCATTAGTAATTCCTAATTAATCATGCATGCATTTCAGTGAAGTCCTCGATGAACTGTGGGTATTATGAAATCCAAAATTAACTCAAGAATAGATTCGACTTATTATTGATCCAATCCAAATTACAGACATTATTTTGTGGATGAGAAAGTTCAGGCAAACTCAGATATTATTATTTAATTAAATCTATTATCTATAAAAGCGAAAGGTCACTGATTGACTGACTCACTCACTCAGACACTACAAGTACTAGGAGTCTCGAATTTTGAATGGGGTTTCTTTTAGAACTTAGGTGCTCACTAAGTCGGGACTTTACAAAATTATCGCGCGCTGCTAGTTCAACATAAATTATGGTAAAAACTTACCATCATTAACGACTTGCGGCTGCTTTATTTCACTTGATTCACTTTTCGCATTTTTATTTTCATTTGTTCCACCTGGAATTAAAAACAAAATATTAGTAGGTATCTAAAGTGTCTGAATCATAAAATATTCTCAAAAGAGGTACCTATCAATGAAAGATTTTTTATAGTCATCGCTTCATCGTCATCAGTAGGCCTAAGATGCGCGCCGTGACAACTTTTATCGACGTCAAAATATATGGGCAAAATCGATAAAATGGCGTGAAAACCGCTTATCGCGGCGCGCATCTTAGGTCTACTGGTCATTTAGTTTCCACTGCAATAGCATATGTATCTAATTTATAAAAAGCAGGATTATAGGCCTACATCCTTCATCCTGTCCAAAAGGGTTGGAGAGATCTGATATTCGCATTTTCTCCCTTGGTCGCTTCTTACGACATCCGGAAAAGTGGGGGTGGGTCATCTGCGACAAACTCGACCTTCACTGGTTGGGTTTTTATTGGCGTTGACCGCCAGTAGATTCTGGCTACACAGGAGTTGCAGCGGTGGGAACGAGAGGTGGGAATAATCCCGTTTGGTACTCGGTCATAAGGATAAACTTAGATACAATTAATAACTTACTTGTAGCGTCTGCATTTTTAGCTGTCGAATTCGGATGATTCGGAGATGAATGGGGCGATGGTGGGGCGACGTTAGATGCATTCGTATTTCCGACGGTATTATTTAAGACGACTGGCCCATCTGAAAATAGTGTGACGTTAGCGATAAGACTTTAAAAAAAATTAAAACTTTATTATTGTTATTTCAAGTTTATATGTATATAATTTTTCCATAAGTTCTGATTCATCAAACAATAAATGGCATGGTGCAAAATTTTTCCCAAAATAACTCCATGGAATTTGCTAGAATATGCCCTTAATTGATATAACGAGTATTTCAGTAATTACTTTCATAAGAAGGAAGGTAATTCAAATTGTTTTCTTTATTTAGAAATTTAAATTATGCCATGAACAGTGCACTTTTATTATAAAACTAGCGTACGCGTAGATCACGTTAGAGGTTGAATTTTGCAAAATCCCGTCTTAGTGATCACCTACGTTCTAAAAGGACCCCCATGCAGAGACTCCTAGCACTTGTACATAGTTTCTGAGATTTCACTCAGAGTGAGTGAATCAGTCAGTCAGTCAGTGACCTTTCGCTTTTACAGATTTAAATTCAATTTTTGAAAACTTACTTGAATTATTCAATCCTGGCGTAGGAGCACTAGCACCATTTGCTGTTGGGGCTGGATCATTAGCGGTTGAGTTCTGATGGCCACCTTCATTGTCTGGGTTATTTACTTCTGCACCAGACGGCATATTTTTATTGGCATGTACACTTATGAAGTAATAAATTTTATTGATATTATGATCATGATTGTGATATGAGTTTTTGTTCTTTATCTCTCCTATGAAGTTAACTTTAGAAGCATGGGCCAAAGGCAATTTCTCATTATCATTGTTATTGTTATTGTTATTATTATTATTAATGTCTCCAACTATAGCTGTTGCTTTAGTTTTTGCATTATTATTATTTACATCAGCAATGTTTTTAGTGCTGTTGTTACTGATTGTGTTGTCAGGTGATTGGTTATTCGTGTGACTGGCTTCAGGCGTAACACTTGGAAGTTGTGTAGAGTCTGTTAAAATGTATGCGCATGCAAAATAGATGAATTATTAGTAAGAAGATTAATTGTAATTAGTAGAAAATAAGATTACAACGTCTATCATCATCAGGTCAGGTCTTACGAGAAAAGAACCACTCAGCTAGCAACGTTTAAATTAAATGTTAAAGTAAAGTTTCTTCTACCTAAAGCCCGGCCTGTGAGCACGTAGAATTTTGTACAATGACCCCAAGCTACCTATCCTTATCGCTCGCGCGTATTAATATTGCTGTCGCGACAGTGCGACGGGCGCCCGCAGTGAGTGTGCGAGCTAGCGACTATTATAGATACTAATACTGTCAGCTATTTATTGGACTCTATTTGGATTTAGGATCATACTGACCCTTATAATTCTGACGCATTAAATAAACTTAAATGTATAAAAACTCACTTGTATTGTTCTGGAGTGGTGGACTGTTATTAATTGGTCCGTTCGTTGCATCAGGAGCATTATTGGTACCATTGATGTTCTTACCTGGGTAAAAAGGTACTTATTATCACCATTCTTATTCTCTTAGGTGGACGTGACTATTTTAACGTGGAAAATTCTGGCAAAATAGCACTCGCTCTGCATCAAGAGCACACTGACGCTAAGGCCCGCCATACACGGACAGCTTGAGCAGTTAATCAGTGATCAACATACAAGGACCACTCTTGTAGTCAAGAGTTAACAGCTTGTAACTGGCAGTTATAACTGCTCGAGCAGTTGGTATTAACTGCTCAACAAATCACAAGCGCGCGCGCCGTGGAATGAAGAAAGTGGGCGGAGCTAACTGCGCGAGAGCTGTCGACAGCTCGAGCAGTCAGTGTATGGCTGGCGACACTGTTTGACCGCACGATGAAAATTCACCGTGCTGTCGACCGCCCGAATCAGTTGCAACTGCTCGAGCTGTTCGTGTATGTGCGTCCATAGAACTATGCAGTTCACTGTGCAGTCGCAGCTTGATGCTGTCGACCTTGACTGCTTCAAGCGGTCCGTGTATTGCCGGCCTTAATTGCGTCAGAATTAGAAGCGTCGCGTCAGTCTATTAAACTACTTATTAATAATCATTATTCAAAAACTTACTGTTATTATTCTGGTTGTTGGTAATTGTGCCGTTGTCTGCACCACCTGCTTGGCTCGGTGCGTTAGAAGCTGTATTGGTGCTATTAACGTTTTTGCCTGGGTGTAAAAATTCATCATCATCATCATCATTTCAGCCACAGGACGTCCACTGCTGAAAATAGGCCTCCCCCAATGACTTCCAAATCACACGGTTAGTAGCGGCCTGCATCCAGCGCCTTCCTGCTACCTTTATCAGGTCGTCGCTCCACCTTGTGCGTGGACGTCCCACGCTGCGTTTTTCGGTACGCGGCTTCCATTCCAGAACCTTGCTGCCCCATCGGCCGTCAGTTCTGCGTACTGCCACTTCAGATTGCTAATTCGTCGGGCTATGTCAGCGACTTTAGTTCGTTTACGGATCTCCTCATTTCTGATTCGATCTCGTAAAGAAAAACCGAGCATAGCCCTCTCCATAGCACGCTGTGCAACTTTGAATGCAAAAATTAATCGCTTGTTATTCTCATAGGTGAAAATTACTGACTATCGTCTAAAATTCGAGAAAAATAACTGACGCCAAGTGCGTCAGAATGTCAGAATTAAAACCGTCACTATCAACTATTATTACGGTTATTTTAAAACTTACTAGTATTATTCTGGAGTGCTTGGCTCGTTGCATTAAGTGAAGTGGTACCATTGACGATGTTATCTGGGTAAAAAAAGTAATTAACTTATTATAAATCGTGGTCAACTTCTGCAAATGTTATTGGTGGTCTAAACCTCGCTTTATTGTGAAGTGACTATTTTAATTTTGAAAATTCTAGAAAAATAGCGCTCACTTCGCCAAGGGCAAACTGACGCTAAGTGACTAAGTGCGGTAGAATTAGAAGCGTCAGTCAGCGTCACTCTATCAACTATTATTACGATTATTTTAAAACCTACTTATATTATTCTGGCGTGACTGGTTGTTAGTAGTTGTGTCGTTGCCTGCAGCACCTGCTTGGTTTGTTGCATTAGGAGCTAAAGTGGTAGCATTGACGTCGTTACCTGGAGAGCAAAAAAACAACCAATCATATAGGTAAGTACTAAATGATGAAAGATGCTAAAATTATCGTGGAAGATCCGGGCAAAATAGCACTCATTCCGCAAAAAATATGAGCAGTGACGCTAAGTGCGTCAGAGTTATAAAAGTTAGTCTATGCACTACCTATATTATAATTCTACTAGTTTTCTGCCCGCGGCTTCTCCCGCGTGAAAAAAGGGCTGTTTTTAGGGTTTTCCAGGAAGTTTTGTCGCCGTAAAAACTATCCTTGGACTGCAACGAACATTAAAAAAAAGAATTGGTAAATTAGGTCCAGGCGTTGTTGAGTTCTGCGCTTACCAACACATTTTGCGATTCATTTTTATTAGTATAGATAAAAACTTACTGGTATTATTCTGGAGTAACTGGTTGGTAGTAGTTGTACTATTGGCTGCAGCACCTGCTTGGCTCGTTGCATTAGGAGCTGAAGTGGTACCATTGACTTTGTTACCTGGATGAAAGAAAGTAACTATTAGTTTGATCATAGAAGTGAAAGTGACTAATTACACATCATAAATTTTGGTAAAAAGAGCAAACTGGGGACATAATTCTGGCAAGAAGTGATTCCTAAAGGATAACCCATCACCACCCATGGTTCTTCCTGCCTCACGGCGTACGAACCGAATCTCGAGAGAGCGCGCGGGTACTTGCTCTGGGCTCTTTTCCCCGGGCGCTTTGCTTGACTCCCTACAAACTCTGATCCATGTCCCTTCTGATAGTCAATTCTCCCCCTTCTGGGGCTTGACACCACAAATACGGTACTTCGCGACGGGCTGCTATCGTTGGTAAATTTAATGTCATCACTTCTTCTCATAACTTCGCCTGATTGTGTGCCAGGAGTGCGCGAACTCGCGCAGCGCGATCCAGTTACTGCGAATACTCGTGAGGCCCTGGTGATAAACAGGTCCTTGCTCGGCTCTCCGTATCGCATCCAGCATCTTCTGTCGAGCTTCGTCATAGAGGTTACATTCCCAAAGTGCGTGATCGCGGCTCTCTTCGACTTCTTCGCCGCATGGGCATAGTGCAGACTCGCACAGCGTCATCCTGTGTAGGCCTATTCCTAAAGGATAGTAGGTACATCACAGATTTTTTAATCCATCTAGCAAGAATACAGCTTTAGGAAAGAGACATTCGAACACGAAGACTATAATCTGGGCCTTTTCAAGGCAAGCTTGAATAGGCACTTACTTGGCAGATATGTACCATCCTAGGCTGCATCCCACTTAACGCCAGGTGCGATTGTGGTCAATACCTGCCTTGTTATACATAAAAAAGAACTCTGTCTTTAGTAAGATGATTGGTGCAGGGCAGGGTGGTATAGGAAGACATAGGTAGGTACCTGATACGATTGGTGGTACTGGTGGTACTGTGTCTGCAACAATGATGTAGTCTGCAAAAAGAAAGATTTTTTTAAAAATTGTATCTCTTCTGAATGCTCTTATATCATTTCTTCTCTTAGACTTTGTAATAAGTTTGGACAAAAATAGACTGACTGATGTGCCTGGATGCTTACTAAGTATTATGTCGGTTAATATATCCGCAGTGTAATAAACTTATCAGTTAGTTCGAATACCCAGCGACCTAAAATAATCAGAACCAATTTAAACAATCAACAGTCATTCGATCGTCTGATATGAGATGCTTCGAAAACTTTCTTAAATTAATCTCTCTCTTAGATGTTTTTTTTTTCATGTGACATGTATGAAAAAAAAACAGTAGAGTCGTCCTTAATCGTGTATGGATCGTATCCAGGCTATATTAAGTTTAGAGGTGTTATCTAGGTGTTTTAGAAAATACCTAAATTAATACAAACATGTTACACACATGGTTCAATTTAACTATCCCCTAAGACTATTCAAATTATCTTGGGACAAATGGAAGGCAAACGCGCTTGGGGCAGGGCACCGACGAGATGGTCGGACGCGGTGAGGAGGACGGTGGGCGTGAGTTTGCATCGTGCGGTCCACACAGCTTATGACCGCAGTCTGTGGAGGAACACTATCTGTGGTCGCGATCCTCATCAGTGAGGGAACGAGGAAGAAGAAGAAGACTATTCAACTTTCACTGGTTAGGTTCGATTGAAGGCCAAACTGTAGATCCTGAATAATAACAGGAGTTGAGTCCACTGTTGGACGAAATTCTTGCATAAGGAATGCCCCAAACAAAGTACGGTTATCTGCTTTTTTCACCTTCTTGGTGTAAGCAAATAAATTATTGCGCCATACCAAGTGCGCATGCACACGTTTGCTCTATATTATCAGCATAAATAAATATGCAGCTGCTATTTTTTATTTGAGCTTTGCCCTGTAGCCTTGCCATATTTATTATGTAAACTTCCTTTTACATAATTCCCTATTCGCTTACCAATGCTAGACTTTTAAAAATTGCTAGAAAAAAACAACTTAAATGATTTAAGTTAAATCATATTAATTCAGGACTGTAATATTGATTTATTTAATAGATCTAAATATGTATAACCTTACGCAATAAAGTGACTTTAGTTGAATTTTTAGGAAAAGTTGTTTGTTTGAGCAGTATTGTATTAATAATAACAATCAGCCTGTTCATGTTAATCACTTAAAACGGACGGAACGGTTTTCCCAAAAAGGAATATTACCTAGACCGTTACTTTTATTTACTTATCTCAATTAACAACTTCCTACCAATTTTGAAGTAACAAACATTGATGTGTTTGTTACTTCAAAACTAATTAAGTATGTGATTAACAAACAAAAAATTTTTAAGATTTTGGATTGCACCACCTTACTTTAACTTTAAAAAGGTGGTGCAACTCAGCTTCGTTTTTTCGCATCCAGTCCATTTGTGACGGAAGATTTGTTTTTTGTACCGTTTGCAAGCTATGCCACGCTATGCGCAGACGCACAGCAAGGCCGCACGCGCGCTATTTTTAGTGCGGTGATGTCAGCCGGCTTGGACTATTCGATACGTGCTCTTTTTTCGAAGAAATCAGATTAACAAGTGCATTTCTACTCAAGGTCATAACGTCTATAGCTTATTTTAAAAAAGTGCGAATGAGGTTTCAACCTAGCGGAGCGCACATCTCCTCTCGTCTCCTCTCCGCTCCGCTTTGGTGGAAGGAAATATAGCTTGCCAGCTTCACCGCACATTTCTCGTCACCGCACTGCTCCGCTTTGGTGGAAAAAGGGCCATTATGTGCCTCAGTATGGATCAAACAAAAAGGATTGATCCAATTAACTTTCCTACGGGAACGATATAAAAAATCTCAAAAAAATAATAATTGACGTCTCCTCATACCTACTAATTTACTGAAGACAATAAAATTTGTATGAAAAATTTAACGTTTTTTGGAAGATTTGAACTTCATTCTCTTAAAGAAAGTTGTTGCAATTTAAACCGGTTAATCATCCCTTTTGTTTGATCTATAGTTACAGGGACACCCTGTATAGTATTTTAAATATTCTTGCGGATTGTTACATATCCTGACGCATGGACATGATGATGTCTTTCAACTTCCCTCGATTTTCAGTCAAGCGAAGTTATAGATACGGGAGCTCACGCGGACCTCTTGAGGGAATTTGAAGTAAAGTCTCACTGTCTTGTTTCTTTTTCATTTACGTTTAAAATGCATACTAATTGAATGATCAAACGAACTTACCAAGTGAAGTTCGATCTAAATTATCCTGTTTTCGCCGAAGAGATTTATTTTACCATGTAGTACCCCTGTACGACAACCCAATCCGCACACAATATTCAGCGTAGTAGTATTAAAAAACAAAAGAGCGGGCAACCCCACCCCTACCACGCTGTGGGCTCGGTGTCCGAGCGGTCTCATTATATTTAGAGAAGAGATGACATTGACGTTTACCTCCAGGGAAGAAGATATAGAAATCTTCGGGTTGGGAGGGACCTTAAATCTCTTCGGCGAAAACAGGATAATTTAGATCGAACTTCACTTGGTAAGTTCGTTTGATCATTCAATTATCCTGCTTTCGCCTCCGAGATTTATTTTACCATGTAGATGTTTAGAGCATGGATCAATGTCCATGTTAAATGGTTAAGAGAGTAAATGTCAATGTACTAAATACATAATAAAGCAATATTTTTGTATTATAATCGTATTGCATCACTTATTCATAACAATAACAAGTATCACGGTCTCAACAAGATTTTGTTCATTATAGAGTATTATTATATACATTTATTTGTACTTCTATTAACTGTTAAGTACGACTACTGATTGTAAAAAGTTGCCAAGACAGTTGACAGAGCATCCTGTCTATCCAGCACACTGGCTAATTGTATCAACGTTGACAGCGGCGCAAACCGCAGGCAATACTGCCGCGTGTCGCGTGCTGTGTGGGCCGAACACCCTCGTGTCGACACTCCTTTCCTATATTTATCCAGTTTCATCTCAGAACTGAGCTTGACGACGGTAGTGGTTAACACCGAATCGATCACAGTGACTGCAAAGCTAACACTCTGATTGTTGTAAAACATAAGCTCACTTGCATTTTAATTAATAAATAAATAATGTGGTTAATTAAAACTTATTAATTTATTTGGATACAGTTTGACCAGTATTCCAAAACAGTATTAATTTGGATTCCAAGTAACACTGTTGCGAGGAAAAAGTTTGGTTTCTATTTAATAGCACCTTTTAATAGCAATCTTTTGATTCTTGAAACCTGACCTATAAATTATATTATTTATTTAAATAATTATATATTTCAATAAATTATATGATTTCACTAACGATATTGCTAAGCGGTGGTTATTTAATGTTATTATAGGATGCACCCGACTTTAGAATATGCTAAGAAAATAGAGTAAGGTAGGTACAATGATGTAATTGAGCATTGTAAAAATATTTATTTGTCAGTCATTTAGTGTAGTGGTTTCAAAACGGACTACTATGCCGAGAGGTCCCGGGTTCGATCCCCGGCCGGGCAGAAATTGAATTGATACATTTTAATTTCTGTGATGGGTCTAGGTGTTACTATGTATAATATGTACTTATGTATATAAAAACGGTATTTAAGTATGTTTATATCCGTTGTCTAGGACCCATAGCTTTGCTCAGTGTTTGGGACTAGGAGCGTAGTGTAAAATGTCGAAGGAAGGATATTTATTTATTATTTGCGGAGTGTATAGCGGAGTCTGGTACGTTTTGTTTGATCCACGACTGCCAAATACAAAACTTACTGCAAAGGAAAGGTAAGCTTAAATGGGCAATATGGTACTACTGATGTACCTGTTGCCCCAGCATTCTATTTTTTTTTTTTTTTATTATTATTATTATTTTTTTTTTTTATTTATTTATTTTTTAGTGAAAAAACGTATTAACGTCTAAAAAAAAAAGGGTCGCCATTCTAAGGCGAATTAATTGGAATTAATTCATGTTAATCGTGTAGAAATCTCTACGCCAGACGATAAAATATGAATTATGACTAAATATCAAACAAAGTTCAAGAAACAAAAAATAGGTTTATGTCATGTACAGAAACCAAAGCGTCTAACATTTTCTGAGACAATATTAAACCAAGTTCCTACTCCGTGTCTTTATTCAGACACCTTGATTCAGTCAGCTTCAGTATTATGACTGTGATGATTGAATTTTTATAATCATGCTAAGAAAAAATAACAAAATACTAATTCTCAATTTATACTTCATAGAAAGGGAAGAAAGACTCATTCATTATTATGAGTTTGTGGCAGCGTTATCAATTCGTAAAATAAAATCGCATTATTTTTTGGTATTATTAAAAAATGTCCTTAATCTAAACTAAAGGTTACAAGTAGTGGTAGTACTGGTAGGTACCTACATAATACATAGTTTATTTTATGTGGTTGATTCGTTCTTTGACTGACCAAAGTCCACTAGTCCGGTTGTTATTACAAGCGGCCCGATTTATTTTTTGATGCGTCAATAATTTTCTATTACATTGATTACAATGTAATTATTATTGTGTTATATTTATAAAGGCATAGTTATTATCGCTTTAACGCATAATAAGATACTTTGCTTGTCTAAAAGATTTAGCAAGATAAGAAATGATTCAATGTATTTCATGATGTCGCATCTCTTCTTATGAGAATTCTAACGTTATACATAAATAGTTTATACGAACCAATTGTAAAACAGTACATGGAGTTAAAACTGACCTTTTTTTTTTTTTTTTTTAAATAAATAATAATAATGATGATGAAGCCTTACTTTGTAAGACTATCAATAGTATTATTAGCATTAATCATACATTGATTAGTAGGTACAAACCTACATAATAATGTTTTTCCAATACAAGAAAAAAATGACGTCATCTTAAGTACCGATACCGATACAGTTTAAGGAAGCTCTTAGATTTTATCTATTATTTATAGATACAAGCTGGTGAGACGTCATGAATAAAA